AGCTGTGGTAGTAGGAGCTCTAAGGTCAATCCTAGAGTCATCCATATTAGAACTACCACCCCCTTTTGGTTCCCCTTTCTAAAAGTTAGTGATTTTCTCCTGCATACCCCCTTTCACACCTCCAGACTTCTCAGATCCAGATAAAAGAACACAATTATTAGTGGGGTGGGGTTGATGGAGAATTGAGTTAATACCTTGATTATTGTTGGCATCCTTGCATTGCTTGTTATGAAATACTTTTGGGGCAACACTGGAAATGGGGCCAGCAACACTACCATGGGGTTGAGGGGTGGGGAGCATTGAGTCAAGTCCTTGCTTATTCTTAGCATCCTTGATTTGATTGTCCTGATAAACATTAGGGGCAACACTGGGGTGGGGACTGCAACACTACTATCGGGTTGAGGGGTGGGGAGCATTGAGTCAATACCTTTTTGTTGTTCCTGGCTGGTCTGATTCTGATGTGGTACTGGTTTATAAACCTGACTTTGTTGGTTTTTTGGTGATTCCTCTGATTGTTTTAAGGATAGCCTCTAAATTTCTTTTTCTTTTATGTCTGCCATTGGTCTTCTTGCATTTTTTGTTGATACTGATGAGTTCTTGCTAGCTATTCTTTGGTACCTGAAACACTAACAGAAATATTATTCTTAACAGACTGAGATTTAATTAGTAGAGTAGTTACCTGAGTGTCATTTGCTTGGGTTATTTTGTTTTGTTCTTGTTTGCTGCTTCCACCTCCTCTCTTCTTCTATATTCATCATCTTTCCTCTTGTTGTTCTTGTTTGCTGCTTCCACCTCCTCTCTTCTTCTTTCTATATTCATCATCTTTCCTCTTGACATTACATGTATAAACCTCTTATGGCCTTGGTGTTTGCAGTAATCACTATCTTTACCTGTTGGAACCTGTGGAAAAATAGATATGCATGCAAATATGGAGGAAGCAAATCTAATATAACTAAAGTGATATACTTGGTGCTTAAAGACATCAACAACCTCCTACTCATCAACTTTTCTTACATAAAATGGTCATCCAAGTGGCCTAAGCTGATGCAGTTTGGAGGAAATTTCTTCTATGATATCAAAACTACAAAGGTAAGTTGGTTTAAGCCACCTAAAAATGTGGTTAAAATCAACTCTGATGGTAGTGCATTAGACAACCCAGGAAAGATGGGGGCTGGTGGTATTGTCAGAGATGCCCAAGGTGATCTAATCTATGCTTATGATACTCCTCTAGGCCATGGTACCAACAACCAAGCAGAGATTGAAGCTGCTCAATGGGATCTATATCTTGGTGTCTAAATAATGGTTTTAACCAGGTGATTTTGGAAGTAGACTCTGAGTTAGTGGTTCACTAGATAAAACAGCAAGCTGCTCCACCTTAGAATTTGCAGAATGCTGTAGCTAACCTTAAGAGAACATGTGATTAGTTCCAATCCTTTTCCTGTAATCACACCTTTAGAGAGGCTAACTTTGTGGCTGATGTTTTATCCAAAACTAGCCATAACAGTGAAGTCCTCAACATTACTTCCATGTCCACCAGCTACCAAAAGAAGCTAGAGGATACTACATGCTAGACAGGAGTGAGATGCCAAATTTTAGAAGAAGAAAGATGATGAAGATCAGAAAACCACCTTGATCCGACAGCTTTCCTTATGATACAAAAGGGAACATATACTTTCAAGAAGAGCTTTAAAGGAAAAAAATACACACAAGGACATCACAAAATCAACTAAACTCAAATTCTCTAGAATCCCTTGAAACCCGGCCTAAGATCATTTTAAGTACTCCCTTTGTTTCAATTTGTTTGTCTTACCTTCCTTTTTAGGATTTTTAAAAAAGAATGACTCTTTTCTAATTTGAAAACTCCTTAATTTCATTATCCCGCATGGTATGTTTGTGACCAGAAAATCAAAGAACATCTTGGTACAGTATACAGTTTTAGTTTTAAGACTACAAATTCAAAAGTACTATTTACTTTCTTAAACTTTATGTCAAGTCAAACAAAGATAAACAAATTGAAACTGAGGGAGTAACAATCTTTGATCATTTTTAGTATCAACTATACATGCAGGATTACGATATTCCATTACCAGCAAGAAGACACATTCAAACATGCAGTTGCATTGACTAAAAATAGTAAATTCAGTATAACCAATTCATAAAATTGCACTACTTGGGAATATACTACAGGCATCTCTCTCTCTCTCAGTCACACACACACTATCAGATAAAGAAAGGAGTTTACTTTTGTAATGTTGTTAGAACTAGATTTAGACTCCTCAATGAGCACAATGTGAATGAGGAAGAAAGTGTATATTTGGAAAGCATTTCGATATGATGCAACTAGATCAGCAAGCGAACACTCATCCTCTTCACTGTCATTCTTCTCTTCATCAGCATTTCCATCCTTCTGTTGAGACACCCTCCAGAGAGAATCCACAGTAGGGAGCAGCACACTGAGATTGGACCTAAGTGACTCCACAAGATTTTGCTTACAGCCAGGAGTAAGGCAAGGAAACTCCTTCATTAACGAATACACAAGATCGAACACATCCTGCTCCTCCACGCAGAATAGCTCTTTGTCAGATAAGTCAAAGGAGACACATGTTTAATTGCAAACAAAAAACAGCAAATTTAGAGAAATGAGTTGGAAAAATCAAAAAAGAATGACAACCCAGATGGAAAATTCGAAAAGAAAACAAAAAAAAAGAGAAACCAGATGGGAAAATAGCAAGGAATGTGAACCAAGTAGGAAAATCGAAAAAAAGAATGAGAAAGAATTTCAAAAGAGATTGAAAATTTGGTCTTGGGAGTTTCGGTAAGGTGAAAACCCAAGATGGGAAATACATACGATGAATTCTACCAATTCAGAAGGACGAAGAGCACTAACTAAAGTGGGATTTTGAACTGAGGGGCGACTACAATCTGAGTCTTCCTCTTCAAGAGGGCCTAAACATTTTTGGTACTAGGTTTGAAGATTTCTATAGCGTAAAATGGTGGGAATTTCCTGATCTGATTTTGAATAAGCATAAAGCGATAAAGGGGGGAGGCGGGGTGGGGGTGGGGAGTAGAGTTTGAAATGGGAAATGTGGGTGTATGAGAGCGGGAAGATGAAGAGGAAAGGCACAAAATTAAATATTTAATTACCAAAACCTAGGCAGAGAATGCACCAATCTTAGCCAATGGGAGGCAAGCAAAGGCCTTGTAGCAACTTCTAACCTAGTAATCAGCATGATCTTGGCATAGAAAACAATGTGTAGACTATTGCTAGGCTTGTTATTTCTTTTAAAGGGACTTGGATAGAGAACCGGAACAATAACAACTACTATGTCTCAATATCAAACAAGTTGGATTCACGAACAAAAATAACTTTGTAGAAAGACCAAAATCAAAAGTGGAACAAAAGAAGTTCATAAAATATGGAGAATTGAATCCCATATGATCAGAGTGTACTGGAACTCAATCAAGAACTGAATCTTACATTTTTCAGGAAAATGATCCACAACATGATTAGGCTTAGAGGACCATTGACCATTAAAAAAAGTTAGCATACAATGCAGTTGAAAGGAAAGTCAACTGTCCCGATGTAATTGAAAATGCAAGGAAACGTTTAATTCTAAGAGGCTGGTCTAGGACCTTCGCCAGAACCTGGTTATTCTTCTAGTGGAATTGGAAGTATCAAGATTTTGATCACTTTTGCTGCTGTTCTTAGTTCTGGATGTAGTGGAATTTGAAGTATCGAGATTTTGATCACTTTTACTGCTGTTGTTAGCTCAGGATCTAGTGGAACCTGCAAATGTACAATTGTTAGTGTTTGTATAGGATATAGGATATAGGATGTTGTAAGGAACCTCTGGTGCGATTTATATAGGATTGAACTTCATTTTCATCAATTATTGAATCAGTCACCTCACTGGAAGCATGAGAATTTGCTTCCGACTTAGCACATGGTGGTTCCAAAGGTGAACATTCTGTTTGCACTTCCATTGATGGATCTGTGACTTCAGAATCTGTTACATGACTAAGAAAATGAAGTTACAGAAAATTCAAGATAACCAAATCAGGAACTAAGCCCACTCCTTTCCATTATAGATCATATGAAACGGAGCAGATGCAACAATCCTGTTCCATGTTGGCTTCACTCATTTTGTCTATACAGTTTGCACATTGACTTTGAAAGTTTTATCAGTCAGTTTCACCACTAGCCTCTTTATATATCTCCATCTCTCTCAGCAAAATAACTTTAGAGCTGTTTTTATCAATATCTACTCATAAATGTACAATTCTGAAAAAACCCATCATTTAAATTTTATATGGATTTTTGAAAGAAAAAGTTGTAGTGAAGGATCAACTATTTATATAAGTTACTACCACGTAATAACTTGTTAACAGCTACTACATCCTCTACATTGTTTTAAAATTACTTGTATAAATTAAAGAGACAAGTATGAGAAGCTCTAGTAATTCCCTCCGCCAAAAATATTTTCAAAATGAAAACTTTGTAAATGAAACATGAAATAGTAATAACTACATAAACAGGCAATAGATTTGGAGAAAACTACCTTTAGTAATTTCAGATTCACCGATTTCCTCTTCTTCTTTTTCAGTCACTGTGATGCTCTCCAAGGCTCTCCACTTTCTGTTGATGGCTTTGAGCATTTTTGGCAGTAAGTTCTTACTCCTTCCTCTCAATGTTGAATTTATTCAACTTTTCTTCAAACTCCTCAATGCATGATTCGAGTTCAGGTTTAGCAAACCTCTTCCCCTAAATGAAGACATTCAAATAGGCAGATAAAGTTCACTTGGTTTCGTCAAGCGCGTTAGCGAAAGGTACTTTCCCTGCCAGAAATTGCATTTTCAGCTCTTGACATCTTTTTGCCTCAAGTTCACTTGGTTTCTTCAAATATCTCCTAAATCAACTCTCCATTTAATTTTCCTGCAAATAAAGAAAATCAAAACCACAAGAAGCTCTTCTTTCAACACACACCACAAATGAATTTCCCTTTCTCAATTAAGCACAAAGGTAATGGCTTTGGTTGGTACTAACAAATAGTCCACATGCAAAATTTTCACAAAAGAAATCCCTCTCATTCTCATGAAACATTTCCAAAAACCAAGAATCATTTATGTGACAACAACTCAAACTCAAGAAATCACTCAACTCATTAACTCTTTCACATGCTCACTTGACTCAATTAGGAATTTTCAAAATCACCACTTTTTCAACTTACATGCCCTCACAAAAAGAAGTGTCCCAAAACCCCACACACATATAAACAAGACAAGGGACAAAGATGCAACACTCACACTCACAAAGAATCATCTCATGCACACAAATGTCACACCATAGGCTTGCCCATATTTTCAATCAACATTGACTCAACTCCATTTGCTTAGAAATCTCAAAGGACTTTGTTAAGCTTGTAATGTAGGCTTAGGGAAGGTTAGGATATCATTTAGGTATAAGTGACTACACCCTCCTTGAACACTACACAACAACTCATCGTTTCCAACTTTCTCCACTTCTCTTCACCATGCACATTCCACACTACTTTTTCATTTTTCTTTTCTTATTTCCACTCTAGATGCCCCACATGCAACCATTTTCAACTTTTCGAGAATTCAAGCCTCATTTATTCATTTTCTTTCTTTCTTTTTCAAAGTTTTTTCTTTCTTTAAGACTTCCCATCCATCCTTCAATTTCTCTTCTTTTTTTTTCTTTTTTTTTTTTTATATCAAGCCCTCATGTGGTAAGCATTCCTTCAATGAATTTCCCATAACCCCCCCAACTTAGGCTTTTAGCCTAAACTTTCAAAACCTCAAGTTCAAGGAGGGAAGGGTTCAAAAGAGGGTTACTTTTTCAAAAAGGCTAAGGCTTGTAATGTGGTTGCCAATAAAAAGGATTAGGCTCAAAGGGGACAACTAAGGTTATTTTGTACAAAGGTGGAATTTTTAGGCCAAGTGGACTCAAGAACATCAAAGAAAACCTAAGATCATTTCTCCAACCAAACTCAATCAAGACCAACATTTCAAGACCAACCGGGCAAGTTCTAGGTAACAAAAGCAAACACAAGGCATTATTCAACAACTCACCACACATGACCTGCAAATCAATCAAAATGGTTCAAAATCTTCCTTTTAAAAATACAAGAAGTATTGAACATTTTAATCGCTAACGAATCAAAAGTCACAAAAAGAGTGGTAAGAGTTGTCACAAAATTATTCGTAACATGATCAACCTTTTAAAAATTGAGAGGTATGCTCAACGCTATTCACATGCAAGACTATGCTCTTAGTACCAACCAAGTCAAAACCTTCCCAAAAAGACAATGATTTTGCCCTTAAGAAAGTCGTCAACAATCATGCATCTATTCGGGAACAACTACTCAAAATTCGCCACAATCAACGCCAATCAAACACTCACAAGCAATCGACAATTTACCATTAAGAAAGTCATCACTCTCTATCCATCATCGGGCATCGTCAATCCAAATCTTATTATCAAAAGAAAAACAAAGAAGCTACAAACTACAAATCAAAAACTAAAATAGACCAATTTAACACAATATCCACAGAAACATCCACAATATCAAATCCCGACAAGGGCACACCAATCCATAACAAAGAAAGCAAAGTATGCCCGACAAGGGCACAATCATTGTATGCAAAAACAATCAACAAAATGACTACAAGGGAGGCACCCCCAACTGAAAATGAGATGGTGTCCTCACAATCAAAATATCAAAAAAGAATACGAGGGACTCCCTGAATTGCATCACTCTCAGCTCGAGCCTGTAGGAAATGTGAGGTCCTCCTCATCCGAAGCACTGCTACCACATTAACTCCTCAGCTTTCCCTTTATAAATGCTACAGAGGAGCAAACCATCAGAAAACGGGAGGAAAAGAAGTCACACTCAGATCTAGCACAAAACAAATAGCACATCAAGTCTCACAAAGCCAGTAAGAAAATACAAGCAAGATGGTTAACACAATGCTACAAACACATCATCAACAACACCATGGCAGTGGAAAATCAAGTCCTCGATATAGTGGGGAAGGAAGAGAGAAAACCCACAACAGGATGCAACGTCCTCAAGATAATGAAATCAATAGCAAGAGTAGTCCTCAATATCAAATACTGAATAATGAAGCAACAGTTACAACATTTGAGAAAACAAACCTGTAGCAGATGCGGAGCAAGTCGAGAAAGAGGACCTAGCATTGGCAGAGTTCCATGAACCACTTCAAATGGATTTTACTAGTGTTGGGGTAGTAGGTGATGATTCTGATATGATTGCAAGGTACCCACTGTGTCCCAGAAACAATTGTTGATTAAGACTAATGATCAACACAAGGAGATTGTACCTGCAACAAAAGCACAATTAGAATTGGCCCAAAATCAAGCTTCTCCCATGCAAGTACTACATGAAATTGTTTCTCATCACCTAACGGGTATCACAGGAGTTGTAGTACAGATAAATAATCAGGATAAAGATGGTAAAAGAGAAGATAAAGAGGAAAGAGAGGGACATCAAAATATCAATCAGTTGGTGAAGGATCCTGATTTATCTCCACACGCATTCTTAAAAGCTAAAAAGTGCAAGGCCAGAGTTAATAGTAAACCTACAAGGACACTTCCTAGGAGGAGTGGAAAATCAAGTATTAATGAATCTAAAAGCTTTATTTTGAAACATTAGATCTGTAAAATCCTAACATTCTTTTCACAGAGTGCAAATGCTACACCGACATAATGGTTTTTCCATTATTGCATTGATGGAACCATTTCAATATATTAGGCATATACAAAGTTACAAGAGGATATTGGGCATGCATTATGCAAACTATAATCAAAATGGAAAAAATTGGGTTTTTGTACAAGAGCAATTCATGTAGAAGTACTGGCAGATTCAGACCAACAACTCACTATTCAGCTTTCTTTCCAAGGTAATTACCACTACGGTATATGCTAAGTGTGAAGCTACTGAGAGATTACAGTTGTGGGATGATATTTACCTCTTGAGTCAGAACATGAGACTTCCCTGGCTTGTTGGTGGGGATTTCAATGTTATTATGAATGATGAGGAGAAGATTGGAGGACTTCCTGTATATCCAACTGAATATAATGACTTTGCTTTTAACATTAATTCCTGTGATCTTTTTTATATTAATTCCTGTGATCTTTTTTATATTAATTTCAAAGGTATCCCTTTTACATGGTGGAATGGGAGAATAGATAATGCTTATATTTTCAAAAGGCTGGACAGGATTGTTCTTAATCAAGCTTTTCTGGGCCTTTTGGGATGTGTAGAATTGGATCATCAGGCTAGAGTTGGATCTGATCACGCCCCTTTGCTAATATCTCATAATTAGGTTTTATAACTCTATTTTTAGATATTTTAATTATATTTAGGTGAATCCCCACACCCATATCCATACATGAATCCATATCCCCGAATCTTAAAAATTTGATCATGAAGGATCCGACCTCTAGATCCGAACCCGTATCAGACACCCGCACCCGAGTCCGAGCAACTTAGTGTGAATTAGTTGAGGTCACAACGAAGGTGGAATGACAATTTGCTAAATCATCTTTTTCCGGAGGAGGTATGTAATCACATTAGTTATAAAGTTGGATCTGGAGAGGATATGAGTGGGACAAGCTATGGTGGATGGCACACAGCTCAGGAAAATTCAATGTTAATAGTGCTTGGGAGATTTTGAGAAATGCAAGTAACAGGAAGAATTCAAGTTCATTTGGGAAAAAGGAATTCCTTGTAAAGTCTCTTTTTTCATATGGAGGTTATGGAAAAGGAGGTCCCAATTGGGGAATTTCTAATACGAATAGCCCTGGTAGATGATGTAAGGTGGTGTTGTTGTAAAACATTAGCCAAAGAATCCTACGAGCATATTTTTATTACTTGTCTAGTAGCTACCACTTTGTGGAAAACTTTTGCAGCAGCAGCAGGTTTGCGAGGCCCTTTCCCACATCCGAAAGACACCATGTTTAAATGGTTTAATGCTACATTTCTGTCAAACTCAGACCACTTTTTAAAGCTGTCCCTACTTTTATAATGTGGCAAATTTGGAAGAGGAGGAAAAAGATAAGGCATGGTGGTAAGACATCTGTGCAAGGTATGATGATGGAGATAAATAGGAACCTTCACTACTTGGCAATTACAAGGTATCCTTGGTTGAGGAACATCCCTGATAGTTGGCCTCTGATACTGAAATTCTTTGAAGCCTATACCCCATTAATTGAATGTAAAGTGGTGAAGTGGAAACTACCTAACGAAGGTGTCTATAAGTGCAATTCAGATGGAGCTTCAAAAGGAAATCCGGGACCTAGTGCAAGTGCTTTCTGCATTAGAAATGATGCAGGAGAATTTATATTTGCTGAAGCTAAAAGCTTGGAAAGTGCTACCAGTTTAGAGGCAGAAGTAGTGGCGTTGAGAAGTGGACTGGAATTTTGTATTTTAAACAATTTGCTGCCTGTTATCCTTGAAACTGATTCTTTCACAATCAAACAGATACTAGATGGAATATGGGAAGTCCCATTATCATGGCTTGTGAAATCAAGATGATAAGCAGATTAAGGGCTCATAGTGATGTGGAAATCGAGCAGACACTAAGGGAAAACATGGGAGTGAATTTTTTTGCTAATCAAGTTTTCTGTTTTGTAGGTACTCAAAGATTGACATATAATTCAATACAAGAAGTCCCAAATGAAGGAACAATTATAATAAACATGGATCGGAATCAAATTCCCAATATAAGGCTAACAAGATGTCAAAATGAGAATTTCAGAATGCTACAATAACGATATTATGCCAGAAACTGTAAGGGCTCACAACAATCACAAAGATTTTCAGTGGAAGAGAAACTTACTAGATCGTGTGTGAAAGTTGCAATTGGATCTGAATTTTTCTCTCCTCTTTGGCAGTGGTATTAGATATCTGTGAGCTCAACCTGCCGGGAAAGGGACTTAGAAATGATTTCAATTTACAGCGTCACGAAATTCAGTTTTGTACAATTAAAGATTCAACCCAGAACACAATTTAAGATTCAAGATTTAACACAGAAGCACAATGCAAGATCAGACCCAGCTACACATTGAATCTGAAGTCATAAACAATCATTAATTATCATAAGAATGGCTACCCCAATCCAAGATTCCAGACGAGTTGAATTAAAATTGGAAAAAAAAACATCTGGGTTAGGAAATGACACCCAAAAGAACAAGAAAATCGAGATTATGGATTAGAGGAAAAGGGGAAATGGGTGAAGGTAAAAAGCATCAGCTTATCATAAGAATGACATAAAACAAAGAGAAAAGCAAAACTTTATATGTATAACCCCTCAATTCAAGAAGGAGGGAAATTGTGAAACCTGAAGTTGCTCAACAGGGAAAGGGCCGTCTTGAACATCCTCGATTTCATCATTTTGGTCTTGCATACCTTCTGATTCTTGTGCTGCTGCTCCATTGCTAATCTTCTTGATGCTACTGAGAGTAACAGATGATTGAAAGAGATGGAAGAATGGAGGCAAAAGGAAATATTCAAAAGCGCAATGAGCCTCTTTATATATCTCCAACTCTCTTGCCAAAATGACTTTAGAGCTTTTTTATAAGTATCTACTCTTTAATGTAAAATTCTAAAAAAAACCCATCATTTAAATTTTATATGGATTTATGAAAAAAAGGTTGTAGTGAAGGATCAACTATTTATATAAGTTACTACCACGTTATGTTTTGTTTACAGCTACTACTACCTCTACATTGTTTTTAAATTATTTGGATGAATAAAAGCACAAATGACTTGTATAAATTAAAGAGATAAGCATAAAGCTCTAGTTCCCTACGGCAAAAATATTTTCAAAATGAAAACTTTGTAAATGAAACATGAAATAGTAATAACTACATAAACAGGCAATAGACTTGGAGAAAACTACCTTTAGTAATTTCAGATTCACCGATTTCCTCTTCTTCTTTTTCAGTCACTGCGATACTCTCCCCAAGCTCTCCACTTTCTGTTGATGGCTTTGAGCATTTTTGGCAGTAAGTTCTTGTTCCTTCCTCTCAATGTCAAATTTATTCAACTTTTCTTCAAACTCCTCAATGCATGATTCGAGTTCAGGTTTAGCAAACTTCTTCCCCTAAATGAAGACATTCAAATAGGCAGATAAAGTTCACTTGGTTTCTTCAAGCGCGTTCGCGAAGGGGTACTTTCCCTGCCAGAAATTGCATTTTCAGCTCTTGACCTCTTTTGCCTCAAGTTCACTTGGTTTCTTCAAATATCTCCTAAATCAACTCTCCATTTCAATTTTCCTACAAATATGAAAAAAACCCATATTAAAAGCACCAATTCTAAACTAAAGCAAGCCAAAATAACTACGAAAAGAGCCTCAAATGAGTGGGAATCCACCACTCATCAACAACCTCGACTTAGAAACTTTCTTTGTCCTCAAGTAAAGAAAATCAAAAACACAGGCTCTTTTTTGAAAACACACCACAAATCAATTTCCCTTTCTCAATGAAGCACAAAGGTAATGGCTTTGATTGGTACTAACAAATAGTCCACATGCAAAATTTTCACAAAAGAAATCCCTTTCTTTCTCATGAAACATTTTCAAAAACCAAGAATCATTTAAGTGACAACAACTCAAACTCAAGAAATCACTCAACTCATTAACTCTTTCACATGCTCACTTGACTCAATTAGGAATTTTAAAAATCACCACTTTTTCAACTTACATGCCCTCACAAGAAAGAAGTGTCCCAAAACCACACTCACATATAAACAAGACAAGGGACAAAGATGCAAAACTCACACTCACGAAGAATCATCTCATGCACTCAAATGTCACACCATAGGCTTGCCCATATTTTCAATCAACATTGACCCAACTCTATTTGCTTAGAAATCTCAAAGGACTTTGTAAAGCTTGTAATGTAGGCTTAGGAAAGGTTAGGATATCATTTAGGTATAAGTGACTACACCCTCCTTGAACACTACACAACAACTCATCATTTCCAACTTTCTCCACTTTTCAAACACATGCACATTCCACACTACTTTTCATTTTTCTTTTCTTATTTCCACACTAGATGCCCCACATGCAACCACTTTCAACTTTTAGAGAATTCAAGCCTCATTTATTCATTTTATTTCTTTCTTTTTCAAAGTTTTTTCTTTCTTTAAGACTTTCCATCCATCCTTCAATTTATCTCTTCTTTTTTTCTTTTTTTTTATATCAAGCCCTCATGTGGTAAGCATCCCTTCAATGAATTTCCCATAACACCCCAACTTAGGCTTTAGCCTCAACTTACAAAACCTCAAGTTCAAGGAGGGAAGGGTTCAAAAGATGGTTACTTTTTCAAAAAGGATAAGGCTTGTAATGTGGTTGCCAATAAAAAGGATTAGGCTCAAAGGGGACTACTAAGGATATATTTAGTACAAAGGTGGGATTTTTAGGCCAAGTGGACTTCGAGAACATCAAAGAAAGCCTAAGATCATTTCTCCAACCAAACTCAATCAAGACCAACATTTCAAGACCAACCGGGCAAGTTCTAGGTGACAAAAGCAAACACAAGGCATTATTCAACAACTCACCACACATGGCCTGCAAATCAATCAAGATGGTTCAAAATCTTACTTCCCTTTCAAAATACAAGTAGCATTGAACATTTTAACCGCTAACGAATCAAAAGTTACAAAAAGAGTTATAAGAGTTGTCACAAAATCATTCATGACATGCTCAACCTTTTAAAAATGGAGAGGTATGCTCAACACTATTTTTTTTTTTGAAATTAAGAGGTATGCTCAACACTATTCACATGCTCAACTATGCTCTTAGTACCAACCAAGTCAAAACCTTCCCGAAAAGATGACGATTTTGTCCTTAAGGAAGCCGTCAACCAATCCATCATCAGGCAACCTCATGCATCTATTCGGGAACAGCTACTCAGAATTTGCAACAATCAACGCCAATCAAACACTCACAAGCAATCGATAATTTACACTTAAGAAAGTTATCACTCCCTATCCATTATCGGGCATCGTCAATCCAAATCTTATTAACAAAACAAAAACAAAGATGCTACAAACTACAAATCAAAAACTAAAATAGACCAATCCAACACAATATCAACAGAAACATCCTCAATATCAAATCCCGACAAGGGCACACCAATCCATAACAAAGAAAGAAAAGTATGCCCGACAAGGGCACAATCATTGTATGCAAAAACAATCAACAAAATGACTACAAGGGAGGCACCCTCAACTGAAAATGAGATTGTGTTCTCACAGTCGAAATATTAAAAGAGATTACGAGGGACTCCCTGAACTGCATCACTCTCAGCTCGAGCCGGTAGGAAATGTGAGGTCCTCCTCATCCCAAGCACTGCTACCACATAAGCTCCTAAGCTTTCCCTTTATAAATGCTACAGAGGAGCAAACCATCAGAAAACGGGAGGAAAAGAAGTCACACTCTGATCAAGGATCCAGCAACAAATTGAACATCAGGTCTCACAAAGGCAGCAAGAAAATGCAAGCAAGATGGGTAACACAATGCTACAAACACATCATCAACAACACCATGGTAGTGGCAAATCAAGTCCTCGATTTAGTAGGGAAGGAAGAGAGAAAACACAACAGATGCAAGGTCCTCAAGATAATGAAATCAATAGCAGGAGTAGTCCTCAAGATCAAATACTGAATAATGAAGCTGCAGCAGTGACAATATTTGAGAATAACAAACCTGTAGCAGATGTGGAGCAAGTTGAGAAAGAGGCCCTAGCATTGGCAGAGTTCCATGAATCACTTCAAGTGGATTTTACTAGTGTTGGGGTAGTAGGTGATGATTCTGATATGATTGCAAGGTACCCCTGTGCCAGAAACAATTGTTGATTAAGACTAATGATCAACACAAGGAGATTGTACCAGCAACAAAAGCACAATTAGAATTGGCCCAAAAGCAAGCTTCTCCTGTGCAAGTACTACATGAAATTGTTTCTCATCAGCTAACAGGTAACACATAAGTTACAGAAGTTACAGTAATAATCAAGAAAAAGATGTAAAAAGAGAAGATAGAGAGGAAAGAGAGGGATATCAAAATATCAATCAGTTGGTGAAGGATCTTGATTTATCTCCACATGCATTCTCAAAAGGTAAAAAGTGCAAGGCCAAAGTTGATAGTAAACCTACAAGGACACTTCCTAGGAGGAGTGGAAAATCAAGTATTAATGAATCTAAAAGCTTTATTTTGAAACATTAGATCTGTGAAATCCCAACATTCTTTTCACAGAGTGCAAATGCTACACCGACATAATGGTTTTTCCATTATTGCATTGATGGAACCTTTTCAATATACTAGGCATATACAAAGTTATAAGAAGAGATTGGGCATGCATTTTGCAAAATATAATCAAAATGGAAAAAATTGGGTTTTTGTGCAGGAGTAATTCATGTAGAAGCACTGGCAGATTCAGAGGAACAACTCACTATTCAGCTTTCTTTCCCAAGTAATTACCACTACGGTATATGCTAAGTGTGAAGCTACTGAGAGATTCCAGTTGTGGATTGATATTTACCTCTTGAGTCAGAACATGAGACTTCCTTGGCTTGTTGGTGTGGATGTCAATGCGATTATGAATGATGAGGAGAAGATTGGAGGACTTCCTGTATATCCAACTCAATATAAGGAATTTTCTTATTGCATTAATTCGTGTGATCTTTTTGATATTAATTTCAAAGGTATCCCTTTTACATGGTGAAATGGGAGAATAGATGATGCTTGTATTTTCAAAAGGCTGGACAGGATTGTTCTTAATCAAACTTTTCTGGGCCTTATGGGATGTGTAGAATTGGATCATCTGGCTAGAGTTGGATCTGATCATGCTCCTTTGCTAATATCTCATAATTAGGTTTTATAACTCTATTTTTAGATATTTTAATTATATTTAGGTGAATCCCCACACCTGTATCCATACATGGATCCATATCCCCGAATCTTAAAAATTAGATCATGAAGGATTCGACCTCTAGATCCGCACCCGTATCAAATACCCGCAACCGAGTACGAGCAACTTAGTGTGAAACAGTTGAGGTCACAACGAAGGTGGACTGACAATTTGTTAAATCATCTTTTTCCGGAGGAGGTGTGTAATCACATTATTGAGAAAGTTGGATGTGGAGAGGATACAAATGAGTGGGACAAGCTATGGTGGATGGCACATAGCTCAGGAAAATTCAATGTTAATAGTGCTTCGGAGAGGTTGAGAAATACAAGTAACAGGAAGAATTCAAGTTCATTTGGGAAAAGGAATTCCTTTTAAAAGTCTCTTTTTTCATATGGAGGTTATGGAAAAGAAGCTCCCAATTGGGTAATTTCTAATAAGAATAGCCCTGGTAGATGATGTAAGGTGTTGTTGTTGTGAAACATTAGCCAAAGAATCCGACGAGCATCTTTTTATTACTTGTCCAGTAGCTACCACTTTGTGGAAAACTTTTGCAGCAGCAGCAGGTTTGCGAGGCCCTTTCCCACATCCGAAAGACACCATGTTTAAATGGTGGAATGCTACATGTTGTGTCAAACTCGGACCACTTTTTAATGCTGTCCCTACTTTTATAATGTGGCAAATTTGGAAGAGGAGGAATATGATAAGGCATGGTGGTAAGATATCTGTACAAGGTATGATGATGGAGATAAATAGGAACCTTCACTACTTGGCAATTACAAGGTATCCTTGGTTGAGGAACATCCCTGATAGTTGGCCTCTGATAGTTAAATTCTTTGAAGCCTATACCCCATTAATTGAATGTAAAGTGGTGAAGTGGAAACTACCTAACGAAGGTGTCTAAAGTGCAATTCAGATGAAGCTTCAAAGGAAATCCGAGACCTAGTGCAAGTGCTTTCTGCATTAGAAATGATGCAGGAGAGTTTATATTTGCCGAAGCTAAAAACTTGGAAAGTGCTACCAGTTTAGAGGTAGAAGTAGTGGCGTTGAGAAGTGGACTGGAATTTTGTATTTTAAACAATTTGCTGCCTGTTATCCTTGAAACTGATTCTTTCACAATCAAATAGATACTAGATGGAATATGGGAAGTCCCATGTAACATGGCTTGTGAAATCAAGATGATAAGCAGATTAAGGGA